CGGCTTAGTTGGTTAAAGAGATGCTCTAGTAAACAGAAATTCGCGAGTTCGAATATCGTCGGTGCCTTAGTAAAGAACTTTAAACTTTGTATTCATACAAATCGGTCGTGGTTCGTTAACTAATGTCATTGAATTTAGAAAAACATTGTTCCTAATGCTAAGCGTGGAATACGAAACAACTTAGAAGGGAGAGTATAGTTTATGACTGCAAATTTTGAAAAAAAAAGTTCAGAAACCGTCTTTTGAATTATTTCTGGAGCAATTCGTTTTATTTATAATTAGCAGACTCAAAACATACATGTTGATCGCAGGCGCCGTGGCTTAGTTGGTTAAAGCGCCTGTCTAGTAAACAGGAGATCACGAGTTCGAATCTCGTCGGTGCCTTAGTAAAGAACTTTAAATTTTGTATTGATAGAAATCTGTCGTGATTCGTTAACTAATGCCTTTGAATTTAAAAAAACTTTGTTTCGAATGCTAAGCTTGCAGTACGAAAAAATTTAGAAGAGAGAGGACACTTTATCAATGCAATTTTTCAGAAAAGTTCTAAAACCCTCTTTTGAATTATTTTTGGAGCAATTCTTTTTATTTATAATTAGCAGACTCACAACATGCATGTTGATCGCAGGCGCCGTGTCTTAGTTGGTTAAGACGCGTGTCAAGTACACAGGAAATCATGAGTTTGAATCTCATCCTTTCCTTAAAGAGCTTTAATTTTAGTATTGACACAAATTAGTGGTGTTTCGTTTGCAAATACCATTGTATTCAAAAGAACACTTTTTCCAATACTTATCGTGCAATACGATACAACTTAGAAAGGAGAAGATAGTTTTTCTAAGCAATTTTTGAGAAAAATTCGGAATATTTCTTTTGAATTATATTTTCCGAGCAATTCTCTTTATTTCAGATTATCTGACGCAAAACATGAACAAAGTTCGTTGGCGCCGTGGCTTAGTTGGTTAAAGCGCCTGTCTAGTAAACAGGAGATCACGAGTTCGAATCTCGTCGGTGCCTTCTTAAATAGCTTTAAATTTTGTATTGTTACAAATCAGTGGTGGTTCTTTCACTCATGTCATTGTATTTAGAAAAACATTGTTTCTAATGCTAGGCTTGCACTACGAAATAACTTAGAAGGGAGGGTATAGTTTATCAATACAAGTTTTGAGAAAAGTTCAGCAACCATCTTTTGATTTATTTTCGGAGCAATTCTCTTTATTTATGATTAGCAGATTCCTAACATATATGTAGTTCGCAGGCGCCGTGGCTTAGTTGGTTAAAGAGATGCTCTAGTAAACAGAAATTCGCGAGTTCGAATCTCGTCGGTGCCTTAGTAAAGAACTTTAAATTTTGTATTGATAGAAATCTGTCGTGATTCGTTAACTAATGCCTTTGAATTTAAAAAAACTTTGTGTTTCGAATGCTAAGCTTGCAGTACGAAAACATTTAGAAGAGAGAGGACACTTTATCAATGCAATTTTTCAGAAAAGTTCTAAAACCCTCTTTTGAATTATTTTTGGAGCAATTCTTTTTATTTATAATTAGCAGACTCACAACATGCATGTTGATCGCAGGCGCCGTGTCTTAGTTGGTTAAGACGCGTGTCAAGTACACAGGAAATCATGAGTTTGAATCTCATCCTTTCCTTAAAGAGCTTTAATTTTAGTATTGACACAAATTAGTGGTGTTTCGTTTGCAAATACCATTGTATTCAAAAGAACACTTTTTCCAATACTTATCGTGCAATACGATACAACTTAGAAAGGAGAAGATAGTTTTTCTAAGCAATTTTTGAGAAAAATTCGGAATATTTCTTTTGAATTATATTTTCCGAGCAATTCTCTTTATTTCAGATTATCTGACGCAAAACATGAACAAAGTTCGTTGGCGCCGTGGCTTAGTTGGTTAAAGCGCCTGTCTAGTAAACAGGAGATCACGAGTTCGAATCTCGTCGGTGCCTTCTTAAATAGCTTTAAATTTTGTATTGTTACAAATCAGTGGTGGTTCGTTCACTCATGTCATTGTATTTAGAAAAACATTGTTTCTAATGCTAGGCTTGCACTACGAAATAACTTAGAAGGGAGGGTATAGTTTTGAGAAAAGTTCAGCAACCATCTTTTGATTTATTTTCGGAGCAATTCTCTTTATTTATGATTAGCAGATTCCTAACATATATGTAGTTCGCAGGCGCCGTGGCTTAGTTGGTTAAAGCGCCTGTCTAGTAAACAGGAGATCACGAGTTCGAATCTCGTCGGTGCCTTCTTAAATAGCTTTAAATTTTGTATTGTTACAAATCAGTGGTGTTTCATTTCACTCATGTCATTGTATTTAGAAAAACATTGTTTCTAATGCTAGGCTTGCAATACGAAATAACTTAGAAGGGAGGGTATAGTTTATCAATACAAGTTTTTTTAGAAAAGTTCAGCAACCATCTTTTGATTTATTTTCGGAGCAATTCTCTTTATTTATGATTAGCAGATTCAAAACATAACATATATGTAGTTCGCAGGCGCCGTGGCTTAGTTGGTTAAAGAGATTGTCTAGTAAACAGAAATTCGCGAGTTCGAATCTCGTCGGTGCCTTAGTAAAGAACTTTAAACTTTGTATTCATACAAATCGGTCGTGGTTCGTTAACTAATGTCATTGAATTTAGAAAAACATTGTTCCTAATGCTAAGCGTGGAATACGAAACAACTTAGAAGGGAGAGTATAGTTTATGACTGCAAATTTTGAAAAAATTTCAGAAACCGTCTTTTGAATTATTTCTGGAGCAATTCGTTTTATTTATAATTAGCAGACTCACAACATACATGTTGATCGCAGGCGCCGTGGCTTAGTTGGTTAAAGCGCCTGTCTAGTAAACAGGAGATCACGAGATCGAATCTCGTCGGTGCCTTAGTAAAGAACTTTAAATTTTGTATTGATAGAAATCTGTCGTGATTCGTTAACTAATGCCTTTGAATTTAAAAAAACTTTGTTTCGAATGCTAAGCTTGCAGTACGAAAAAATTTAGAAGAGAGAGGACACTTTATCAATGCAATTTTTCAGAAAAGTTCTAAAACCCTCTTTTGAATTATTTTTTGGAGCAATTCTTTTTATTTATAATTAGCAGACTCACAACATGCATGTTGATCGCAGGCGCCGTGTCTTAGTTGGTTAAGACGCGTGTCAAGTACACAGGAAATCATGAGTTTGAATCTCATCCTTTCCTTAAAGAGCTTTAATTTTAGTATTGACACAAATTAGTGGTGTTTCGTTTGCAAATACCATTGTATTCAAAAGAACACTTTTTCCAATACTTATCGTGCAATACGATACAACTTAGAAAGGAGAAGATAGTTTTTCTAAGCAATTTTTGAGAAAAATTCGGAATATTTCTTTTGAATTATATTTTCCGAGCAATTCTCTTTATTTCAGATTATCTGACGCAAAACATGAACAAAGTTCGTTGGCGCCGTGGCTTAGTTGGTTAAAGCGCCTGTCTAGTAAACAGGAGATCACGAGTTCGAATCTCGTCGGTGCCTTCTTAAATAGCTTTAAATTTTGTATTGTTACAAATCAGTGGTGGTTCGTTCACTCATGTCATTGTATTTAGAAAAACATTGTTTCTAATGCTAGGCTTGCACTACGAAATAACTTAGAAGGGAGGGTTTATAGTTTTGAGAAAAGTTCAGCAACCATCTTTTGATTTATTTTCGGAGCAATTCTCTTTATTTATGATTAGCAGATTCCTAACATATATGTAGTTCGCAGGCGCCGTGGCTTAGTTGGTTAAAGCGCCTGTCTAGTAAACAGGAGATCACGAGTTCGAATCTCGTCGGTGCCTTCTTAAATAGCTTTAAATTTTGTATTGTTACAAATCAGTGGTGGTTCTTTCACTCATGTCATTGTATTTAGAAAAACATTGTTTCTAATGCTAGGCTTGCACTACGAAATAACTTAGAAGGGAGGGTATAGTTTTCAATACAAGTTTTGAGAAAAGTTCAGCAACCATCTTTTGATTTATTTTCGGAGCAATTCTCTTTATTTATGATTAGCAGATTCCTAACATATATGTAGTTCGCAGGCGCCGTGGCTTAGTTGGTTAAAGAGATTGTCTAGTAAACAGAAATTCGCGAGTTCGAATCTCGTCGGTGCCTTAGTAAAGAACTTTAAACTTTGTATTCATACAAATCGGTCGTGGTTCGTTAACTAATGTCATTGAATTTAGAAAAACATTGTTCCTAATGCTAAGCGTGGAATACGAAACAACTTAGAAGGGAGAGTATAGTTTATGACTGCAAATTTTGAAAAAATTTCAGAAACCCGTCTTTTGAATTATTTCTGGAGCAATTCGTTTTATTTATAATTAGCAGACTCAAACATACATGTTGATCGCAGGCGCCGTGGCTTAGTTGGTTAAAGCGCCTGTCTAGTAAACAGGAGATCACGAGTTCGAATCTCGTCGGTGCCTTAGTAAAGAACTTTAAATTTTGTATTGATAGAAATCTGTCGTGATTCGTTAACTAATGCCTTTGAATTTAAAAAAACTTTGTTTCGAATGCTAAGCTTGCAGTACGAAAAAATTTAGAAGAGAGAGGACACTTTATCAATGCAATTTTTCAGAAAAGTTCTAAAACCCTCTTTTGAATTATTTTTGGAGCAATTCTTTTTATTTATAATTAGCAGACTCACAACATGCATGTTGATCGCAGGCGCCGTGTCTTAGTTGGTTAAGACGCGTGTCAAGTACACAGGAAATCATGAGTTTGAATCTCATCCTTTCCTTAAAGAGCTTTAATTTTAGTATTGACACAAATTAGTGGTGTTTCGTTTGCAAATACCATTGTATTCAAAAGAACACTTTTTCCAATACTTATCGTGCAATACGATACAACTTAGAAAGGAGAAGATAGTTTTTCTAAGCAATTTTTGAGAAAAATTCGGAATATTTCTTTTGAATTATATTTTCCGAGCAATTCTCTTTATTTTAGATTATCTGACGCAAAACATGAACAAAGTTCGTTGGCGCCGTGGCTTAGTTGGTTAAAGCGCCTGTCTAGTAAACAGGAGATCTCGAGTTCGAATCTCCTCGGTGCCTTCTTAAATAGCTTTAAATTTTGTATTGTTTCTAATCAGTGGTGGTTCGTTCACTCATGTCATTGTATTTAGAAAAACATTGTTTCTAATGCTAGGCTTGCACTACGAAATAACTTAGAAGGGAGGGTATAGTTTATCAATACAAGTTTTGAGAAAAGTTCAGCAACCATCTTTTGATTTATTTTCGGAGCAATTCTCTTTATTTATGATTAGCAGATTCCTAACATATATGTAGTTCGCAGGCGCCGCGGCTTAGTTGGTTAAAGAGATGCTCTAGTAAACAGAAATTCGCGAGTTCGAATCTCGTCGGTGCCTTAGTAAAGAACTTTAAACTTTGTATTCATACAAATCGGTCGTGGTTCGTTAACTAATGTCATTGAATTTAGAAAAACATTGTTCCTAATGCTAAGCGTGGAATACGAAACAACTTAGAAGGAAGAGTATAGTTTATGACTACAAATTTTGAAAAAATTTCAGAAACCGTCTTTTGAATTATTTCTGGAGCAATTCGTTTTATTTATAATTAGCAGACTCACAACATACATGTTGATCGCAGGCGCCGTGGCTTAGTTGGTTAAAGCGCCTGTCTAGTAAACAGGAGATCACGAGTTCGAATCTCGTCGGTGCCTTAGTAAAGAACTTTAAATTTTGTATTGATAGAAATCTGTCGTGATTCGTTAACTAATGCCTTTGAATTTAAAAAAACTTTGTTTCGAATGCTAAGCTTGCAGTACGAAAAAATTTAGAAGAGAGAGGACACTTTATCAATGCAATTTTTCAGAAAAGTTCTAAAACCCTCTTTTTGAATTATTTTTGGAGCAATTCTTTTTATTTATAATTAGCAGACTCACAACATGCATGTTGATCGCAGGCGCCGTGTCTTAGTTGGTTAAGACGCGTGTCAAGTACACAGGAAATCATGAGTTTGAATCTCATCCTTTCCTTAAAGAGCTTTAATTTTAGTATTGACACAAATTAGTGGTGTTTCGTTTGCAAATACCATTGTATTCAAAAGAACACTTTTTCCAATACTTATCGTGCAATACGATACAACTTAGAAAGGAGAAGATAGTTTTTCTAAGCAATTTTTGAGAAAAATTCGGAATATTTCTTTTGAATTATATTTTCCGAGCAATTCTCTTTATTTCAGATTATCTGACGCAAAACATGAACAAAGTTCGTTGGCGCCGTGGCTTAGTTGGTTAAAGCGCCTGTCTAGTAAACAGGAGATCACGAGTTCGAATCTCGTCGGTGCCTTCTTAAATAGCTTTAAATTTTGTATTGTTACAAATCAGTGGTGGTTCTTTCACTCATGTCATTGTATTTAGAAAAACATTGTTTCTAATGCTAGGCTTGCACTACGAAATAACTTAGAAGGGAGGGTATAGTTTATCAATACAAGTTTTGAAAAAGTTCAGCAACCATCTTTTGATTTATTTTCGGAGCAATTCTCTTTATTTATGATTAGCAGATTCAACATATATGTAGTTCGCAGGCGCCGTGGCTTAGTTGGTTAAAGCGCCTGTCTAGTAAACAGGAGATCACGAGTTCGAATCTCGTCGGTGCCTTAAAAGAACTTTAAATTTTGTATTGATACAAATCAAGGTGGTTCGTTAACTTTGCTCATGTCATTGTATTTAGAAAAACATTGTTTTTCCAATGCTAGCTTGCAATACGAAAAACTTAGAAGGGAGGTATAGTTTATAATGCAATTTTTGAGAAAAATTCAGCAACCATCTTTTGAATTATTTTTGGAGCAATTCTTTTATTTATAATTAGCAGACTCAAACATACATGTTGAATCGCAGGCGCCGTGGCTTAGTTGGTTAAAGCGCCTGTCTAGTAAACAGGAGATCACGAGTTCGAATCTCGTCGGTGCCTTCTTAAAGAGCTTTAAATTTTGTATTGTTACAAATCAGTGGTGGTTTTTCACTCATGTCATTGTATTTAAAAAAACATTGTTTCTAATGCTAGGCTTGCACTACGAAATATTTAGAAGGGAGGGTATAGTTTATCAATACAAGTTTTGAGAAAAGTTCAGCAACCATCTTTTGATTTATTTTCGGAGCAATTCTCTTTATTTATGATTAGCAGATTCAACAACATATGTAGTTGACGCGAGGCGCCGTGGCTTAGTTGGTTAAAGAGATTGTCTAGTAAACAGAAATTCGCGAGTTCGAATCTCGTCGGTGCCTTAGTAAAGAACTTTAAACTTTGTATTCATACAAATCGGTCGTGGTTCGTTAACTAATGTCATTGAATTTAGAAAAACATTGTTCCTAATGCTAAGCGTGGAATACGAAACAACTTAGAAGGGAGAGTATAGTTTATGACTGCAAATTTTGAAAAAATTCAGAAACCGTCTTTTGAATTATTTCTGGAGCAATTCGTTTTATTTATAATTAGCAGACTCAAACATACATGTTGATCGCAGGCGCCGTGGCTTAGTTGGTTAAAGCGCCTGTCTAGTAAACAGGAGATCACGAGTTCGAATCTCGTCGGTGCCTTAGTAAAGAACTTTAAATTTTGTATTGATAGAAATCTGTCGTGATTCGTTAACTAATGCCTTTGAATTTAAAAAAAAAAAAACTTTGTTTCGAATGCTAAGCTTGCAGTACGAAAAAATTTAGAAGAGAGAGGACACTTTATCAATGCAATTTTTCAGAAAAGTTCTAAAACCCTCTTTTGAATTATTTTTGGAGCAATTCTTTTTATTTATAATTAGCAGACTCACAACATGCATGTTGATCGCAGGCGCCGTGTCTTAGTTGGTTAAGACGCGTGTCAAGTACACAGGAAATCATGAGTTTGAATCTCATCCTTTCCTTAAAGAGCTTTAATTTTAGTATTGACACAAATTAGTGGTGTTTCGTTTGCAAATACCATTGTATTCAAAAGAACACTTTTTCCAATACTTATCGTGCAATACGATACAACTTAGAAAGGAGAAGATAGTTTTTCTAAGCAATTTTTGAGAAAAATTCGGAATATTTCTTTTGAATTATATTTTCCGAGCAATTCTCTTTATTTCAGATTATCTGACGCAAAACATGAACAAAGTTCGTTGGCGCCGTGGCTTAGTTGGTTAAAGCGCCTGTCTAGTAAACAGGAGATCACGAGTTCGAATCTCGTCGGTGCCTTCTTAAATAGCTTTAAATTTTGTATTGTTACAAATCAGTGGTGGTTCGTTCACTCATGTCATTGTATTTAGAAAAACATTGTTTCTAATGCTAGGCTTGCACTACGAAATAACTTAGAAGGGAGGGTATAGTTTTGAGAAAAAAAGTTCAGCAACCATCTTTTGATTTATTTTCGGAGCAATTCTCTTTATTTATGATTAGCAGATTCCTAACATATGTAGTTCGCAGGCGCCGTGGCTTAGTTGGTTAAAGCGCCTGTCTAGTAAACAGGAGATCACGAGTTCGAATCTCGTCGGTGCCTTCTTAAAGAGCTTTAAATTTTGTATTGTTACAAATCAGGGTTCTTTCACTCATGTCATTGTATTTAGAAAAACATTGTTTCTAATGCTAGGCTTGCACTACGAAATAACTTAGAAGGGAGGGTATAGTTTATCAATACAAGTTTTGAGAAAAGTTCAGCAACCATCTTTTGATTTATTTTCGGAGCAATTCTCTTTTATTTATGATTAGCAGATTCCTAACATATATGTAGTTCGCAGGCGCCGTGGCTTAGTTGGTTAAAGCGCCTGTCTAGTAAACAGAAGATCACGAGTTCGAATCTCGTCGGTGCCTTAGTAAAGAACTTTAAACTTTGTATTCATACAAATCGGTCGTGGTTCGTTAACTAATGTCATTGAATTTAGAAAAACATTGTTTCCTAATGCTAAGCGTGCAATACGAAACAACTTAGAAGGGAGGTATAGTTTATGAATGCAAATTTTGAAAAAATTCAGAAACCGTCTTTTGAATTATTTTTCGGAGCAATTCTTTTATTTATAATTAGCAGACTCACAACATACATGTTGATCGCAGGCGCCGTGGCTTAGTTGGTTAAAGAGATTGTCTAGTAAACAGAAATTCGCGAGTTCGAATCTCGTCGGTGCCTTAGTAAAGAACTTTAAACTTTGTATTGACACAAATCGGTCGTGGTTCGTTAACTAATGTCATTGAATTTAGAAAAACATTGTTTCTAATGCTAAGCGTGCAATACGAAACAACTTAGAAGGGAGAGTATAGTTTATGAATGCAAATTTTGAAAAAATTCAGAAACCGTCTTTTGAATTATTTCTGGAGCAATTCTTTTATTTATAATTAGCAGACTCAAAACATACATGTTGATCGCAGGCGCCGTGGCTTAGTTGGTTAAAGCGCCTGTCTAGTAAACAGGAGATCACGAGATCGAATCTCGTCGGTGCCTTAGTAAAGAACTTTAAATTTTGTATTGATAGAAATCTGTCGTGATTCGTTAACTAATGCCTTTGAATTTAAAAAAACTTTGTTTCGAATGCTAAGCTTGCAGTACGAAAAATTTAGAAGAGAGAGGACACTTTATCAATGCAATTTTTCAGAAAAGTTCTAAAACCCTCTTTTGAATTATTTTTGGAGCAATTCTTTTTATTTATAATTAGCAGACTCACAACATGCATGTTGATCGCAGGCGCCGTGTCTTAGTTGGTTAAGACGCGTGTCAAGTACACAGGAAATCATGAGTTTGAATCTCATCCTTTCCTTAAAGAGCTTTAATTTTAGTATTGACACAAATTAGTGGTGTTTCGTTTGCAAATACCATTGTATTCAAAAAAAACACTTTTTCCAATACTTATCGTGCAATACGATACAACTTAGAAAGGAGAAGATAGTTTTTCTAAGCAATTTTTGAGAAAAATTCGGAATATTTCTTTTTGAATTATATTTTCCGAGCAATTCTCTTTATTTCAGATTATCTGACGCAAAACATGAACAAAGTTCGTTGGCGCCGTGGCTTAGTTGGTTAAAGCGCCTGTCTAGTAAACAGGAGATCACGAGTTCGAATCTCGTCGGTGCCTTCTTAAATAGCTTTAAATTTTGTATTGTTACAAATCAGTGGTGGTTCGTTCACTCATGTCATTGTATTTAGAAAAACATTGTTTCTAATGCTAGGCTTGCACTACGAAATAACTTAGAAGGGAGGGTATAGTTTATCAATACAAGTTTTGAGAAAAGTTCAGCAACCATCTTTTGATTTATTTTCGGAGCAATTCTCTTTATTTATGATTAGCAGATTCCTAACATATATGTAGTTCGCAGGCGCCGTGGCTTAGTTGGTTAAAGCGCCTGTCTAGTAAACAGGAATCACGAGTTCGAATCTCGTCGGTGCCTTAGTAAAGAACTTTAAATTTTGTATTGATACAAATCGGTCGTGGTTCGTTAACTAATGTCATTGAATTTAGAAAAACATTGTTTCCTAATGCTAAGCGTGCAATACGAAACAACTTAGAAGGGAGAGTATAGTTTATAATGCAAATTTTGAAAAAAAAGAAACCGTCTTTTGAATTATTTTTGGAGCAATTCTTTTATTTATAATTAGCAGACTCACAACATACATGTTGATCGCAGGCGCCGTGGCTTAGTTGGTTAAAGCGCCTGTCTAGTAAACAGGAGATCACGAGTTCGAATCTCGTCGGTGCCTTCTTAAATAGCTTTAAATTTTGTATTGTTACAAATCAGTGGTGGTTCGTTCACTCATGTCATTGTATTTAGAAAAACATTGTTTCTAATGCTAGGCTTGCACTACGAAATAACTTAGAAGGGAGGGTATAGTTTATCAATACAAGTTTTGAGAAAAGTTCAGCAACCATCTTTTGATTTATTTTTGGAGCAATTCTCTTTATTTATGATTAGCAGATTCTCAAAACATATATGTAGTTCGCAGGCGCCGTGGCTTAGTTGGTTAAAGCGCCTGTCTAGTAAACAGGAGATCACGAGTTCGAATCTCGTCGGTGCCTTAGTAAAGAACTTTAAATTTTGTATTCATACAAATCGGTCGTGGTTCGTTAACTAATGTCATTGAATTTAGAAAAACATTGTTCCTAATGCTAAGCGTGCAATACGAAACAACTTAGAAGGGAGAGTATAGTTTTGAATGCAAATTTTGAGAAAAATTCAGCAAACCATCTTTTGAATTATTTTTGGAGCAATTCTCTTTATTTATGATTAGCAGACTCAAAACATATATGTTGAGTTCGCAGGCGCCGTGGCTTAGTTGGTTAAAGCGATTGTCTAGTAAACAGAAATTCACGAGTTCGAATCTCGTCGGTGCCTTAGTAAAGAACTTTAAATTTTGTATTCATACAAATCGGTCGTGGTTCGTTAACTAATGTCATTGAATTTAGAAAAACATTGTTCCTAATGCTAAGCGTGCAATACGAAACAACTTAGAAGGGAGAGTATAGTTTATGACTGCAAATTTTGAAAAAATTCAGAAACCGTCTTTTGAATTATTTCTGGAGCAATTCGTTTATTTATAATTAGCAGACTCAAAACATACATGTTGATCGCAGGCGCCGTGGCTTAGTTGGTTAAAGCGCCTGTCTAGTAAACAGGAGATCACGAGTTCGAATCTCGTCGGTGCCTTAGTAAAGAACTTTAAATTTTGTATTGATAGAAATCTGTCGTGATTCGTTAACTAATGCCTTTGAATTTAAAAAAACTTTGTTTCGAATGCTAAGCTTGCAGTACGAAAAAAAAATTTAGAAGAGAGAGGACACTTTATCAATGCAATTTTTCAGAAAAGTTCTAAAACCCTCTTTTGAATTATTTTTGGAGCAATTCTTTTTATTTATAATTAGCAGACTCACAACATGCATGTTGATCGCAGGCGCCGTGTCTTAGTTGGTTAAGACGCGTGTCAAGTACACAGGAAATCATGAGTTTGAATCTCATCCTTTCCTTAAAGAGCTTTAATTTTAGTATTGACACAAATTAGTGGTGTTTCGTTTGCAAATACCATTGTATTCAAAAGAACACTTTTTCCAATACTTATCGTGCAATACGATACAACTTAGAAAGGAGAAGATAGTTTTTCTAAGCAATTTTTGAGAAAAATTCGGAATATTTCTTTTGAATTATATTTTCCGAGCAATTCTCTTTATTTCAGATTATCTGACGCAAAACATGAACAAAGTTCGTTGGCGCCGTGGCTTAGTTGGTTAAAGCGCCTGTCTAGTAAACAGGAGATCACGAGTTCGAATCTCGTCGGTGCCTTCTTAAATAGCTTTAAATTTTGTATTGTTACAAATCAGTGGTGGTTCGTTCACTCATGTCATTGTATTTAGAAAAACATTGTTTCTAATGCTAGGCTTGCACTACGAAATAACTTAGAAGGGAGGGTATAGTTTTGAGAAAAGTTCAGCAACCATCTTTTGATTTATTTTCGGAGCAATTCTCTTTATTTATGATTAGCAGATTCCTAACATATATGTAGTTCGCAGGCGCCGTGGCTTAGTTGGTTAAAGCGCCTGTCTAGTAAACAGGAGATCACGAGTTCGAATCTCGTCGGTGCCTTAGTAAAGAACTTTAAACTTTGTATTCATACAAATCGGTCGTGGTTCGTTAACTAATGTCATTGAATTTAGAAAAACATTGTTTCTAATGCTAAGCGTTGCATACGAAACAACTTAGAAGGGAGAGTATAGTTTATGAATGCAAATTTTTGAGAAAAATTCAGAAACCGTCTTTTGAATTATTTTTTCGGAGCAATTCTCTTTATTTATCATTAGCAGACTCAAAACATACATGTTGATCGCAGGCGCCGTGGCTTAGTTGGTTAAAGCGCCTGTCTAGTAAACAGGAGATCACGAGTTCGAATCTCGTCGGTGCCTTAGTAAAGAACTTTAAATTTTGTATTGATACAAATCGGTCGTGTTTCGTTAACTAATGTCATTGAATTTAAAAAAACATTGTTTCGAATGCTAATTTGCATACGAAAAAAATTTAGAAGGAGAGGACACTTTATAAATGCAATTTTTCAGAAAAGTTCTAAAACCCTTTTTGAATTATTTTTGAGCAATTCTTTTTATTTATAATTAGCAGACTCACAACATGCATGTTGATCGCAGGCGCCGTGTCTTAGTTGGTTAAGACGCGTGTCATAGCTTTATTTTATTATTGAAAAATTAGTTTAAATTTTGTTTGCAAATATTTTGTATTCAAAAGAACACTTTTTCCAATACTTATCGTGCAATACGAAATTTTTTTTGAAAAAATTCGGAATATTTCTTTTGAATTATATTTTCCGAGCAATTCTTTTTATTTATGATTATCAGACGCAAAACATGAACAAAGTTGATCGTTGGCGCCGTGGCTTAGTTGGTTAAAGCGCCTGTCTAGTAAACAGGAGATCACGAGTTCGAATCTCGTCGGTGCCTTCTTAAATAGCTTTAAATTTTGTATTGTTACAAATCAGTGGTGGTTCGTTCACTCATGTCATTGTATTTAGAAAAACATTGTTTCTAATGCTAGGCTTGCACTACGAAATAACTTAGAAGGGAGGGTATAGTTTTGAGAAAAGTTCAGCAACCATCTTTTGATTTATTTTCGGAGCAATTCTCTTTATTTATGATTAGCAGACTCACAACATATATGTTGATCGCAGGCGCCGTGGCTTAGTTGGTTAAAGCGCCTGTCTAGTAAACAGGAGATCACGAGATCGAATCTCGTCGGTGCCTTAAAAGAACTTTAAATTTTGTATTGATACAAATCGGTGGTGTTTCGTTTGCTAATGTCATTGTATTTAAAAAACATTGTTTCCAATGCTAATCGTGCAATACGAAACAACTTAGAAAGGAGAGATAGTTTTTCAATGCAATTTTTGAGAAAAATTCAGAAACCATCTTTTGAATTATTTTTCCGAGCAATTCTTTTATTTATAATTAGCAGACTCAAAACATGAACATGTTGATCGCAGGCGCCGTGGCTTAGTTGGTTAAAGCGCCTGTCTAGTAAACAGGAGATCACGAGTTCGAATCTCGTCGGTGCCTTCTTAAATAGCTTTAAATTTTGTATTGTTACAAATCAGTGGTGGTTCGTTCACTCATGTCATTGTATTTAGAAAAACATTGTTTCTAATGCTAAGACGCGTGCACTACGAAATAACTTAGAAGGGAGGGATAGTTTATCAATACAAGTTTTGAGAAAAGTTCAGCAACCATCTTTTGATTTATTTTTCCGAGCAATTCTCTTTTTATTTATGATTAGCAGATTCCTAACATGATATGTAGTTCGCAGGCGCCGTGGCTTAGTTGGTTAAAGCGCCTGTCTAGTAAACAGGAGATCACGAGTTCGAATCTCGTCGGTGCCTTCTTAAATAGCTTTAAATTTTGTATTGTTACAAATCAGTGGTGGTTCGTTCACTCATGTCATTGTATTTAGAAAAACATTGTTTCTAATGCTAGGCTTGCACTACGAAATAACTTAGAAGGGAGGGTATAGTTTATCAATACAAGTTTTGAGAAAAGTTCAGCAACCATCTTTTGATTTATTTTCGGAGCAATTCTCTTTATTTATGATTAGCAGATTCCTAACATATATGTAGTTCGCAGGCGCCGTGGCTTAGTTGGTTAAAGAGATTGTCTAGTAAACAGAAATTCGCGAGTTCGAATCTCGTCGGTGCCTTAGTAAAGAACTTTAAACTTTGTATTCATACAAATCGGTCGTGGTTCGTTAACTAATGTCATTGAATTTAGAAAAACATTGTTCCTAATGCTAAGCGTGGAATACGAAACAACTTAGAAGGGAGAGTATAGTTTATGACTGCAAATTTTGAAAAAATTTCAGAAACCGTCTTTTGAATTATTTCTGGAGCAATTCGTTTTATTTATAATTAGCAGACTCACAACATACATGTTGATCGCAGGCGCCGTGGCTTAGTTGGTTAAAGCGCCTGTCTAGTAAACAGGAGATCACGAGTTCGAATCTCGTCGGTGCCTTAGTAAAGAACGTTAAATTTTGTATTGATAGAAATCTGTCGTGATTCGTTAACTAATGCCTTTGAATTTAAAAAAAAAAAAATGTTTTTCGAATGCTAAGCTTGCAGTACGAAAAATTTAGAAGAGAGAGGACACTTTATCAATGCAATTTTTCAGAAAAGTTCTAAAACCCTCTTTTGAATTATTTTTGGAGCAATTCTTTTTATTTATAATTAGCAGACTCACAACATGCATGTTGATCGCAGGCGCCGTGTCTTAGTTGGTTAAGACGCGTGTCAAGTACACAGGAAATCATGAGTTTGAATCTCATCCTTTCCTTAAAGAGCTTTAATTTTAGTATTGACACAAATTAGTGGTGTTTCGTTTGCAAATACCATTGTATTCAAAAGAACACTTTTTCCAATACTTATCGTGCAATACGATACAACTTAGAAAGGAGAAGATAGTTTTTCTAAGCAATTTTTGAGAAAAATTCGGAATATTTCTTTTGAATTATATTTTCCGAGCAATTCTCTTTATTTCAGATTATCTGACGCAAAACATGAACAAAGTTCGTTGGCGCCGTGGCTTAGTTGGTTAAAGCGCCTGTCTAGTAAACAGGAGATCACGAGTTCGAATCTCGTCGGTGCCTTCTTAAATAGCTTTAAATTTTGTATTGTTACAAATCAGTGGTGGTTCGTTCACTCATGTCATTGTAT